TATATAATGTATATAAAATATCATATATTGTATATTATATATAACATACTGTATATTATATTTTTTGAATTATATGATACATTATATTTTGTATATAATGTATTACATATTATATACTGTATGTTATATATGGTGTACTGTATATAATATATTTATGTAATATATAATATATAATAGATACAATATCTAATATCTAATATATAATATATATAATATATAATATATAATATATAATATATAATATATTATACATTACATTATATAACATTTGTTGTATATCATTATATAACATTATTTTTTATATAATATTATTATATTCTTATTATATAACATTTGTTGTATATCATTCACTGTATATCATTTATTATATATTATGTATCATATACATAACGTATGTAAAATTTAAAATTTCGCTTTTGGCACAAATTCACTAAGGGAATCAAAGTTGCCAAAGTGCCAGACTGTCTCTAACTAACTTTGATAACTCATCCGCAGTATCGGCAGTGCGTGAAGTACCATAGGAATGTTGGAAAGAGAAGCAAATAGGGGAAAAAAGTACAGAAAAAGAGCCATTTTGACTGTTATGCGAAAAACTTTTACTTGTGATATCAAATTTCATATGAAAGTATCGCCATAGTACCCCAAATCCTCCTTGTAATTCAAACTTTAAAATTTCTGAGACCATCGTTTAAGTTATGAAACAAAAATGACTTTTAAGCCACAAATTTCCAGTTGTTTTAGCGGGCAAGTTCATAATATAACTGGAAATACTGGTATTTTACTTTTTCAAATTATATTTAAATTTCTTTGAATACAGTTAAATTTTTTTTTTGTGCCAGCTTCTATGAAAAACCAACCATTCTATGACATTGTTGAAAGAAACTAAAAAATGATCCTCCTTTTCTTTTGAATGCGTTTAATTAGTAACTGTTGGTTATTTTCTCTGCTTCTTTTTTGCCATTATCAGCAAAAAAACTACAAAATCGTTAAGTTACAAACGATGCTCACAGTTAGTTCTTTTCTGAGCAGTCAAATCACCAAAAGACTCCAAACGTAGCGATCAGTAAATGGACGGTTAATATTATGCATTTCACAAGCAAAAAAATGTTTCATCAATCAACGACTAGTACTTAAGAAGGTAGCAAAAATCTAAATGTTAAGTTAGTTCAGTCTTCTTGTAGAATAGATTTTATTAACATTTTACACCTTTCAAGCGGTAATAAAGTTCAACAGTTTACATAAACGACTGACGCCAAAGCAATTTAGAAAAATTCTTGAATGGACGAGAAAAGTTTAAAAAAAAACGTGCGCACAGCCACTGATATGATTAAGATAAAACTGCAGAAGCACAAGCAGCAGCATCGGCATCATCGGCAGCAGCAACAGTAGTTCCATGTCATAGTCCGAGACCTTTGAAAACGGTTTGCCCAACGACTGTCGGTGGGTACTGCATTGTTGCACCTCGTTTGCCAGTATTGTGCTGCAATTTGTTGACACATGCGGCATTTCAATGGCCCGGGTCTACCTGTATCAGGGTGTTAGGCACGAAATACTGAACTTTTGTAGGGTAATTTCAGTGGGGATGAGATGCGAATAAGTCCGCTGTTCGTGGTGCTCTTACTAGCCGCGTAAGTACCTAGTTTTACTTAACGGTTGTGAATTGAGATGAGGCTGTTAATGGTTTGTTGTTTAGTTGCTTTTTTTTTTGGTCATTAACAATACTGTTTCTGCCACTTGACACGTTCTTCCGTTGGAAACAAACTGACCCCGATTCCTGAATTTCGCTCCAAACTGTACACGTTTTTTTTTTTTTTACAGAGTCATTTACCCCTTTTTAATGATAATGTTGACGAGCTTGTAACAGGTCAAGCTTCTTTGGTATTCCTTCCCATATTTCACCAAGTAATCGATATGAAAGGCTTTTCCGTACTCAGTCCCCTGTACTGTTTCGTAGGTGTTTATTTTTCAAGATCCGTTGGGCTGTGAATTTAAAGTCTCGTCTAGCCTTGAGTGTACGACAGAAAGTAAAACGATTTCCTTCTGGATGTCATATGTGATAATTGGAGAGCGTGGTAACCTGACAACTGGTGGGGAGTTGCCGCAGTTAATGCTTATGAGCTGAGGCTGTCGCAGAAATACTTTTGAGCTTCCCAAGGCCTGGTTTTAGTGACACCAAATGGGACCAACTACTGGGAGTTTAAGCTTTGTAGTGCCAGGGGACCACTGATTAATTCCAAAGGATGGCTGGATAGTTCAGATAGTTGGAGTTTTTCAGAATTATGGCGCCATTTGTAAATGCGACTGGCAGCGCCTCTACCGAATCCCTCATTTGGATTGCACAGTCTCAAAAATTAGTTAAGTGAACCTTGATATGTGCGTGTCTGCCTAAAAGAAATGCATGTGTAACATATGACGATAAAGTATTTCTCTTCAAGTTATCTAATTCTTTGCGATGTAACAAATCCTTTGTAATTAATACTAAGGAGAATGGAAACAAAAGAGGCATTTCAGAAGGCAGTATAAAGCATCAATTAATTTTCACCTCAGTCCCTATCTTAGATAAAGACTACAAAGGAAAAAAGCGCATAAATCCAGGATTATTACATGTCAAAGCCAATGTTTCCTAACATGGCGGCAACCGGTAGCTGAAGTAAAAGTGCAAAAACAGCTTGAGTGCAGTTGAAGGAAGAAAGTAACAATGATAAGAGAAAAAATAAATAAATAATCATCATATACATAAATATGACACATCAATTTTACATTCTATTATTAGTTAGCAGAATGAAAACGCCTCAGATGTTAGCAAAACTGATGGAATTTCAAATGAAAGAAAGGGAACAGAGTAAATATAGAAAACTTTCTAAAGAAAATGGGCAATTCGATGAAACATTATTGAAGTAACCAAAAAAAACCAATATACTTTAGAAACTAAGAACTACAGAGCCTGGCCCATCTTCAGTAAAATAAATAGCAAAACATTTAAGATATCTATACATGAGCAGAGAGGACTATATTGAATAACAATAAGTAATAGACCCATAATGTCAGGAAACAAATTGAAAAAGCCGAAAGCGCAATAGATTCGTACAATATAACAATACAAATTTACTGCTGTTTAATCCAGTTCTTTAAAAATCACGTCTACCCTTGGTTATGTGTAATAAATGGTCCCTCTGTATACTAACTCAACAAAAAATTTGAAAGCTGCAGGATGACAGGACTCCCCCTCAAGTAGTAAAAACGTGAAGATAAGATCCAAAGCCAATTTTCTACTAGTTTTAGGTTTGCCACTGAGATTTCAATTTAATTTTCAAAACGGCTCCCGGACATAAAATCATTAATATCAAAAAAGTTACCTTGTAACTAAGTTCCTTCTTACAAAAAAAAAAAAAAAAAACAATTTCCCTTATTAAGATAAACACCTCATAGTTTATACAGAATAAAATTAAAAGTCAATAGTACGCATACTGGCGACTCATTTCTGTAGTGCATTAAATTAACGACTTTTTTGTAGCAAAAAGTGGACGACAGTACATTATCCACAAGGCCCTGTTCTAGGAAACAAACACCTCCTCCCAACACGACTAATTCAACTATCAAAGAGGACACAAACATCTCATTTCAGCACGACTAATTCAACTATCAAAGAAACACTTACAGACAGTGATTGTTCGCTCTTTAACGCTTCTTTCGGCGTAAAGAAAACACGCATGATGCACAATCAAATAACCAAAAACTGTTGATGACCGTTACAATGTCAAAGCGTCGCGCGTAGTTCCCAAAATCCGACTACCAGACAAGGAAAGTTTTTCTGAATTCTTAATTTTATCCTCTACCTCAACAAAATCATTCCTTCTCTCCCCAAACGGGCTCGCTCCTTCTAACGTAAAAGCCGCCATCGCTTCCTTTATTTTAGGTTCCACAGCAGCAATTAAATCTGACACTTCTTCTTCCGTCGGATGGCGACCAGGGGTGCAGAATACCTGTGAACAATTCGCAAATTATTCACTGTTTTTAAAACTAAGGATTGTGAATGTAAGAAAAACTAGTAATTTCAGCCAAAAATATGCAGTGAAAACCAGCAATATTTGCATTACCCTCATAAAATCATCATTTCCCCACAATTTCTTGTAAAGAAGTCATAATAAAGAGCAACAGTTCTGAATTGTCAAACAACTTAGCAATTAATCCCAACTGGAGACTACTCAAATTTCATAGAAAAATTGAACCTCAGGTCCTCCGCCATAAATGGAATGAAAGAAAAGCCAAAGTTCACGTGGAAGTTCCGCATAGCTTGCTGACTTCGAGAAATAAATTGATGAGTCGTTCGATGATCTCGTCAACAGTGGCCTGTTGTCGATTGGACCGGGAGGAACTGCAATAACAAAATCATTGAAAAATACTTTTATTACTAAATGTTGGGAGTTGAAAAATATTGTGAAAATCAAACCAGAAAAATTATTAAAAAAATCACCTAGGCTTTCTCCATCTACAAATGACCTCCATTTTGAAAGCCAAGACTTTGATACTGCATTTGGATGCAAGTAATAACTATAAGTTAAAGCTGGAAAAACGCTTGCAGCCTCTCTAGTGCGACTTTCGATTGCCTTAAAGGTTTTAATTTCGTAAGTGCGTTTGCACTGCAACCTCTGATACGCACTTTGACACTGTGAACAGTAATGCAGTTTCGTACATACAGGCCCGCCTCCAAATCTAGAAGCAAATTCCAACATCCTTCATATTCCAAATATTTACAATATTTGAAAGTCTGTTAACACCATTCAACTATTACTATAGATAGAACTAACTCTTTGAAAAGGTATTCCCAAGTATCACTTTCAACAATGACATAATGCTCGACAAGATCTGAAGCTTTCCGTGGTAATATTTGGCCATGACGACAAAGAAAGTCGTAATTTGTGATTGGACCAGGATTCGAAAACGTAGACAACCGATTCAGCCAGTCACGAGAAATGTAATAGTGCGGTAAACCAAATTTCTAAAAATTTAACAAGAACTCTAGGCACGAAGAAATACTGTTTAACATATAAGTACAACTGCAGAGACGTGCTATTACCATATAAATTCAATATCCAACTAACTTTTCCCTCCTTCCCCGAAAGCAGCCTAACATTGTTTTTTATAGTCTCCATTCTTTCTGTGCTTTTCTTCTGGTAAAATAAAACATATGCTTCCTTGGTCAACACGTCAGCTGGCTCCAGCTTTGTGACTACTGTGTCATCAAACTCATACCAGTTGTTGTCAAGCTCATTTTTGCAGTAAGCTACATAATGTCCGCCTAAAGAAAATTGAAACATAAGAAAATTAAAAAGATGCAAAAAAGCAAAATCTGAAAATTAAGCAAATTAAGAAATATTTATGGTAATAAATTTTCATATTCAAATGAAAATAATGAAGAAATAAAACCAACTTTCAGCACTGCTGCCATGATGTGTAACAAAAGCACATAAATCATACAGAGCTAGTTCATCTTTGGCATGACAGGAAGAGCTCAAGAATGGAGAGAGATCGAGATCATATAATGGAAAAGAAACGGTTGTTGAAACCTACAACTGTCTTTAATAACAAATAAAATTTTACAGAAGCATGATAAATATGAATACACTCTATAATCCTGAACACCAAACTCACATTGGCACCACAACTACTAGCCTGTACCCTAATCTCTCATTTCATGAAAGTTACTACGAAAAAAAATCTAAAAAGACCTTTGTTGAGTATGTAGAGTCATGGCGGAAACGTTTCAAATGTATACACAACACTTCTGGCAACCTAGTTATCTTGCACATTTTAACACCATTACGTAATCTAAATAAACTTATTATTGAATTCAGGAAACCATGGTTTTCAAAAAAGTGATTCTCTTCACCAAATGCAAGAACAAATTTCTTTAAAGAAATCTGTTCAATAATTCAGCTGACACGACTTCCTGAGTAGTTCAAAGTACAGAGTACACAATCACTAAACAAATTAGTAGCCTAGACCTGTGCTATTAGTTTATACAAAGAAATAGATAAAGCTCATAAATGATTAAAGTTGTTATAAAACTTGCTTTGCGCATTTTTCGCAGGAGTACATATTTTCGTCCCTAAGGTCATCTGGAGAGAAAAATGCATTTAGAGCATCTACCAGAGTGATAGACGTTCTGAAGATATATCCATACAGCGACCACAACCACATACTCAGCCACCAAAACCAACCCTTATTTGAAAAATTATCCTCAGGCTCCTGGAAAGGTAAAAGACTTTATATTCGTTTATAATAACAATGGTTGAACAAACTTCCTGTTCCCCACTTCGAATAGCAAGTAAAATAAAAATTTATAGTTTTACCGGATCACTTTCGAGACAACCATCCCGACTACACGCATTATTTGCCAATCGTTCAAGCTGATCCTTAGTTGGAATGCATAAAGAAAGGTCCTAATAAATTCTGAGTTAAATTTATGATGAAAAGTTTCATTAAAATGAGTAACATAAGTCCGGAAAATATGAACAAACAACTTTTCTTCTTGGAAGAGTACACAAAGAATTTACCTGAAAGGTTTCGTAAGTTTCAGATATGTGTTGACAAGTAAAGCACTTCACAGTGCTCCGCAACTGACCGTCAAATACGTCATTAACAATACTTTTGTAAGACTTGGGAGATTCTGTTAGTTCACCTGCAAGATAAATTTTAAATGCTGTTTAATAATTTATCAATTACTGAAAGTAAAATC